AATTCATCATCTACAAGTCCCTGTAGATGCTTTCAAACTCTATCAAAACAAGCAAATGAGGACTGGGCAGATATAGCAGCAATGCACTATTTTTCTTCTGATTTGGCTCTTGTAAAGACAGAATATCTGTGAGGCCCTGTTCAGATAATAACTGGAGTGGTACAATGAACCAACCGTTTTTCCAGCATCTTTAGCAAAAGATTGGACAGATGAGTTAATCCCAAGAGACACTCATGGCAAGGAGCTTCCTTGGGAGAAGAGCCATTCATCACAATAGGTGATAGATAGAAGTTCAGTGTCTGCTCAGTGGTGGTGAAACATTACTAATTTGATTTTGGCTGTATTGAATTTTACAAGCCAATCCTTTCCCCATTGAGCCAACTGGACTGGGTTCTGGTTTTTCAGATTTTGGAAGGGGCACCTATAAACTGTTTTATCATCTGGATAGATAATAACTAAGAGTTAGGGTATGCCCTTAGGATGATCATTAATATACAGTAAAAAGTAGGTATGATTGAGGAAAGAAACCTGAGGAATGTCAGCATTGATCTTATGGGCTTCCAATGACTGGTCATTAACTATAACTTTCAGGAAGGACTTAATAATCGAGAGCCCTTCCATGGATATAGCAACCCCTAATACCTCACCTTCTCAAAGGCCTTTGAAAATTATAATAATTTGGAAATAGTAAAATTAAGAAAAAAAAAAAGTTGGAAATTAGGCGATAACTTTTGCCTAATTGAAAGAAAAAATGTTTACAAGTTGGCACTAATCCCTCGATATTTGAAATGGTTGGTTAAAGTATTACATGACAGGGAAATTTTCTTGTTGTCCCTGATTGAAAAAAAACCTATCGGAGACAACAAGAACAATTTCCCTTCATTGCACACTTCAACCAACCATTTCATAGCGTTGATGACATCAGATGTGTGCTTTCAGCATCTTCATTAAACAGCTGAGAAGAAAAACGCAGATCGGAATTGAAATTAATTTTCAAAATAAATTCAAACATTGAGGGATTAAACAGGGATTTGGGTTTACTCAAAGATTATAATTTCCATTGGGAGATCTCAAACCAACCACATTCCTTGGAAAAATAAGTTCCACTTCTTTGTTTATTCCTCGTATCATTAAAAAATTCTGACATTAAATTCTATCTTTACATGCTTGAATTCAGTCAAAAGGTTAATATGTATATTAACCTTTTGATACAATTTTATTGACAATATTGGTATCATTTTATTGGCTTTTTATTCTTCAAATTTTATTAACCAGACTATTAAATCTGCATATGTAAATATAAAAGTGGACATTGAGGTCAACACCCAATGGCAACAACCTGTTTCATGCTTAAACATGAGCAGACCATGACAATTGCATATAAGCATGAAACAGACAGCATATATAGCCACTAAAATAATATTTATGGTAATAATATACATAAGAGTTTACTTTTTCAGTACCCCAACATTTGACCAAACATCAGATATTTTGTGGGAGGAGGAGGTAAAAGACTTCTCAGCACCTAATAATCTATATAATCTTAAATATGCCTTTTGTTCTGCTTCACCAAAACTGCAAATTTAAAGGACACTGTCAGAATAAAGCAACTGCAATCAATAATATAAATAAATTTCTATAAACACAAAGCAATTGTTATGTCAATCAAGAAGAGACAAATTTTGTTGGATTTACCAGTTAAATATTTTTCAATAAAAAAAAAAAAAGAAAAAAAAGTGGTGTAGACACATACATAGAATGTTTCTAACTCATTAAAAATAAGAAAGCTTATTATTGCCTGTATTTTTAATTTTTAATATCAAATCCTTTTTGAAGGAATCCTCAGAAACACACATTAAAAAAACAAAAGTAAAATCCATTTCTAAATGCATGTTTATCTCCAGAAAAGTATTGCTGTCAAATTGAAAGCATGAGAGCAGCAAGCAGAGTTTCAACCATTTTGGTGCTTTAAAAGAGAACAACTGTTTCACATCTAGTATGTTTCAAAAGAGCCAATGTGACATACCTGATGATAATAATAATAAAAACAGATATTATCTCTTCTTTTCCTATTTATTTATTTTATTTATTTTTTTTTTTTTTAGATATTATCACAAATACTTTTGAATACCAAAGTTATTGGGGGCTCTGGCAAAAAAAAAAGCATCACAGCCATTTGTATTAAAGTTTTTAATTCTTAACAAAAAAAAAAAATATTCAAATCTGCTTAGAGGGTATCAGCCGCCACCATTTTTTAAAGTAATGTTTTTATCATCATGGCTAATTTTATGTTAATTTATTTTTAAAATGATGTATAACAATGCCATTCTAAAGTGTATGCTTTATAAATACATGTAACTGTGTGTGTATATGTGTTTAGATAATAATTATCAAATATGTGCAAAAAAAGTGGAAAACTGTTCTCATTGTGTAAACAAATTTGAATGCAGCTAATTTCAGATTGCAGTATGAATTTTCTTAGAATTGTAGATGAATGTCAATGATGTAAGTCCTTATAAGTATTTTTAAAATTGGTAATCATGTAGGTATAGACAACAGGAACAAATTGAAAACTTGAGAAAAAATAAACATTATAATTAGTGTCAGAATTGTTATGAACATAAAAATTAGTAAAAAGGATTTATCATCCCAATTACCTGTGTTCAAAGGCATTTCTGAATTGCTACTCTATAGGATTATGTAAATATGTATTTCTGTTAAGGTTATATGAGTAAGAATATCTATATAATGACTATTATTTGTACAGATCACAAATATTACTTTATCTGCAGAGATATGAGGAAGTAGGATTATTATTATTAACAGTAACTGGCAATTAACAGTAACTTGAATGGGAAAAGAATTATTATTAATTACTGATTCTGGTTATACAATTAAGTCATTATATTTACATTTTTATTGAATATTTTTTTATCTCATTTCAATTTCACAAAATTAAATTATTATTAATTTATATTCCATTAAGATATTCTGTTCACTAAAGATCCTTTTTTTATTCTGACCCTGTTAATTAGTTAACCCTAATAAATTTTGTATTATGAAATTTCACATGTATTCTTATCAATTTTAAATTTGATGATTTACATATTTGTTATTGATTGACTGAATAAACTCAATATAAGAAATGTGCATATATTTCATGTTGTCATAATGTTTAATACAACTGGATAAAAATGTGCATATATTTCATGTTGTCATAATGTTTAATACAACTGGATAAAAATGTACAAACTGGTGTGTATGTGGATTATGTTTTTAGTGGTTAGTAAATGTTTTAGCTTAGTATAAAATAATTTATAACTGGAGTGTGCATGACAATAATTATATGTGTGTGGAGGAGATTATAACAAATCTATTTTATCTCTGTCCCATAATGATTGTATGAAATATGTATGTAACTGTAACAACTATTATAGGACAGTCATAATATTTGTTTATATAGTAAGTAATTATTATTATTATGCATGCATTAACACCTAACAATAGATTTATCAGCATGTAATGAATAAAAGTAATTTTTGTGAAATTATAACTAATGGTGTAGTTAATATTAAAAGCAGATACAATTATTATCAATGTGAGAAGGTGAGTGTGTACATCAAATAATTTATTATGGAGTCTATGCAATGAGGTCTTGTAGTGATGTGTTTGGTAGGTGGATCAGTATAAAGTTAGTGAAAATAATTATTTGTTGTAAATGCTGATATTATTTGTGTCTATTTATTACCATGTCCACACCAAAAAGAATATTTCCACATAGAATGTTTCTTTATATGTATCTTATAAAAATATTTTTTTTTCTATAAAAATCTTTAATTTCGTTTATCATCAGCATAATAGCAGAATCCTTTTTTAAAAGGTTTCTTTTTTTTTTCCTCTCTAATTTAACATTATTAATACACATTCTATTGTCAAATTTTCTTCTTGTGTCTATTCCCCTAAGTGAGGGAGAAATTTAAATTTTTTAAAATTTTTTTGAAAGGAAGTTTTCTTTGCAGAGAGAGGAAGTAGCTTACATAAATAGTAAAGTACCTCCTTGTAACAAGCAAAAAATTACAACACATTAAAAATTAAATATTAATGAGAAGAAACCAGGATTAATGAAAAAGAAACAGTGAAAGAAAAATTTTGGGAGGGGGTCTTGATAAGTTAGTTAAATCACAGACATTTCTTGGAAATACCAAATAGTATGTTTTAACACTTCTTGTATATTAATACAAGGGTAAATAAAAAAAGTAAAGGTAATATTCATAGAAGACCTTTATTTCAAAATTACCTTTACTTTCTGATTTACCCTTGTTTATATTTGTTAGAACTGCTTGATGTTTTCCCACTTGATGGGAAAAAAGTTCACGTTTTCCACACACAAAAAAAATAGATAAAATGTTGTTAAAGTTATTTCTTCTGGATATAAACAATTTTGTTTTTACTTGTTTGGAAACAAGACTGGCTAATTTTGAAATAATCATAAACATATCTATGACCAATTATTGAAGTTAATGAAATTAGTAACCAAGAAATAGTACCATTAATTTATATGCAGTTTTGTTACTAGTTCATTATGGTATATTGCTGTTAAAAGTGCTAAATTGTTACTAGTTCATTATGGTATATATTGTTAAAAGTGCTAAATGTATGGAGAGAGATGGCTTCAATTAAAGTTGCAGAATTCAATCTTTCTTACAGTTATTTCTTGTTATCCATTATTAATTTACCTATAGAGTATAATTGTTCCAAGACATACAATTAATAATGTTTTTAAAGACAATGAACATGAATACGATCTAGTAGTTTAACTCTTCTAGAAGTGAACCAACATTATTGTAAATGAGATTGGTATAAATCATGGAAAATTCATTATCTTAGCATTTCAGAACATCAAAGAACAATCTGTGGATACATCCAGAAAGAGGCTGGTCATGTGATTATATCAAATTGAAAAATCTGAACCAATGACAAAACAGAATTTGATAACCAGTTTAAAACTCATCCCTTCGTTTTCCTCCTTTACGTCTTGGTAATTTTCCACCTCGAGTATCAGAATCCTCATCACTGTCAAATTCTTCGTCGTTGTAGTGCACATGCTTTTTTTTGCCAGATCCTTTCTGGTCCTTTTTTCGATCTTCATACTTTCCACGTTGACGGTTATTTGTTTTATCCATGTTCGTTTTTATGATATTCGCATGATCATATATAACATTGCCCTGAGAATCTTCTTGGCCGAATGAGTTTGGATTCTCTTCTTTCCCCTGTTGCGACTTGTCTTTGCTTTTAGATTTCTTGTTCAAATCATCAAATGAGCCACTTTTTTTCTTCTCAGATGCTGAAAATGAATCAGCTGATGTGTCTTTTGAGTTGGCAGAGCCACTTTTATCAGGAGGAAGATTGGTATGAGTGGCTGTATCAGCATTGGGTGGGGTTGTTGAATTTTGATCTGTCCCTTTCCAACCTGGAGGTGGAGGCTTTCCATCTGTACCTTGAGAACCATCACAAATACAAGCATTGCTCTGAGATTCCAAAAATGTTTTACATCCAGCAGCATCTGTGGCTTTGTATGCCAAATCTGCAATACTTACGCATCCTGTAAAGAAAGAAACAGAATTAAAATTTGATGCTCCAGATGAATTAAATAAATACTTCAATCACTTTATCAATTAAAGAAAATATAGAATATTCAACAAAAGATGAAGCCATGGTCAAATGTAAAGTGCAGCTCTGAGCACTTAACAGTGAATGAAATTATGAATTAAAGGTTACAATTATCAGTGAGGATGAAATTTTAATTAATTCTTTGCATTTACTTCTTCAATGTCATGACTTTTTGCTTGGATCAAATTAAAAACATATCTAAAATAAAGTTGTGAAATACTTTTACAGACATGAAATTTTGAAAACAAGACTTTAAAATAAACCTAATTGAAAATCAGACATAAACTTTAAACTTTTTAGGTATCACTACTGATAGAAAATTGTTTAGTAGTACCAAATATCTTCTGTGTTGTGGAATGTTTTTGATATTGTTATGAATCTAACCAGATCAATAGTTGAGATAGAGGAGGATTGTAATCTATATAATTAATTCAACATGTATACAATAATTATAACAAATTTCTTTTCCCCAAGGGTTGAGCTGGCTGGAATTGCTTAAGGAACACATACACAGTGGGCGACAAAAACAGAAACACAGATGCAGAGTTAACAATTAAATAAATTTATTACTATAACATACAATGGGAAAACAATATGAAAGATACGGCAAAAACAAAAAGTAAAAAAAAATGTTGTGGGATGTAATAACAGGAGTGGGGAGGATTTATCTTCTCAGAAAAGTAACTACATGATTGATAGAAAATCTTAGGTTAGGCCTGCATGCAAATATACAACATGACAAAATACATTGAGCAAAGTATAAACATGTAAGAGAAACAATGACTTATTTGATTGTTATCAAAATTTGTTTTCTTTTATCTTCTTTTAGCTTAATGTCTCTTATGTATTTGTCTTCTTTTCTTTTATCTTCTTTTAGCTTAATGTCTCTTATGTATTTGTCTTCTTTTCTTTTATCTTCTTTTAGCTTAATGTCTCTTATGTATTTGTCTTCTTTTCTTTTATCTTCTTTTAGCTTAATGTCTTTTCTTTTATCTTCTTTTTAATGTATTTGTCTTCTTTTCTTTTCTCTTTTATTTGTCTTCTTTTCTTCTTTTTTTAATGTCTCTTAATGTCTTTTCTTTTATCTATTTGTCTTCTTTTCTTTTTCTTCTTTTTGTCTCTTTTTTTGGCTTCTTTTTTAATGTCTTTTTTTTCTTCTTTTCTTTTTTTTTCTTTTCATTTCTGGTCTAGGGGCTTGGGTATTTGATGAATCAATTGTCTCTTATGTATTTGCTTTTGTTTTATCTTCTTTTTATGCTTAATGTCTCTTAGGATAATGTCTCTTATGTATTTGTCTTCTTTTCTTTTATCTTCTTTTGTAATGTTTTTCTGGTCTCTTTTTTTGGCTTCTTTTAATGTCTTTTTTCTTCTTTTTTTTTTTTCTCATGCTTGGGTGATGAATCAAAAGTCATTTTGCTTCTTTTTTTTTTTGGGTTAAACTTTGTTAAAGCTGTATGAGCTTCGAAATCATCTTAGATTTGTATTCCTTTCAAATATCTAAATTAATAGCTGGCTGCCAAACAATCCATTCAGTCTAAATACCACAGAAAGGTTATTTCACATATGCAAAATTATAGCTGATTATCACATTTTATCACAAATTCAGTCTGCTTGGTTTGGCTAGCTAAGCTGGACTGACTTTTCGCTGTTTGTTTTTTCACACCTTGGTTTCATCACATGGGTCTTGATTTCCAAATATGGACCTTTTTCCTGTGTGGGCAAAAAGAGGTCACTGACCCTTTCTTTCTCCTGCAGGGTTTCAGAGAGTTCAAGATCATTTCATTGTCTGGTTTTCATCCAGTTAAATCACATCGTCAACAAAAGAGAAAGGAAAATGTACAATCTTTGCTCAAATGCATGCAAGTTTGGTTAAAATTTGTTAATATTTGATTTTACTTTTTTTTTTTTCTTTTTTTTTTTTTTTTTACACTTTCTGAGAGTACTGACTTTTTATTTAAAATGCTTCTAAAATATAAGCATGGATACAGATTTTAGAAGGAACTTAGATGAGGGTCTGTAATGCTTCCTTACCAAAAAAGCTATGGATAAATCCATGGTGTTTTTCTAACAGTAAAGGGATTATTCTGATTTGTTTTTTCTTCTACAGACGTGAAAGAGCGTCTGTGCACATATTGTCTATACCACATATATGTCAGATAACTAAGTCATACTCTTCACGTGCTAAGCTCCAGAATAATAGCCTTCTGTTTTTGTTTTTCATTTTCCCTAGGAAAGTAAGGGGGTTATGATCTGTATAAATTAGAAAAGGTTGCTGGGATGCAGATACGTAGACTTCAAAGTGTTATAAGCTCAATAAGAGAGCTAATGTTTCTTTTTCTGTGGTTGAATAGTTTACCTGATGTGTATTAAATTTCTTGGAAAAATAGCTAACAGTAGGTTCAATAGCATTTCAATCCACCTACAATAAGACTGCACCCATTCCATGGTCACTAGCATCTACAGCCAAGCTAAACAAGGAGCTTTCAATACAGGATATGAAAAAAGTAAAGCTTTGTGTCTTTCTATATGACCTCCTAATCTCTAGGCCTAATTTTTTCAATTTTTCTTAGTTTCAATAACCCTCCTATGGAAGTAGATGCTGTAAATTATTCTACATCCACCATTTCTGTCTGCCAGCCACTTGTGTTCACAATTCCGCTGATCAAATTGGTGTAAAAAGAAAGAAATAACCAACTGTTGCGACCCTCCCCCTTCCTCTAACCAGATTGATAGTGAAGAGAGTACTGACTTTTTATTTAAAATGCTTCTAAAATATAGCATGGATACAGATTTTAGGAGCTTAGATGTGGGTCTGTAACAATATTTAAAAATTTCTGAATGATTTGTTTCATATTGAGGCTGACTCTGAACTGTATAAAGTTGGCACATTGAACTCTATAATGATTTTTGCATCTTTATATATGAACTAATTCTATTTTTATATAATCCTGAGTGCAGAGACGAACTAAAAAGTCAAAATTTTACTCGTCAACTTATATGATGAAATTTTTTTCTGGAGACTGCAAAGTTGAGTTTAATTTGATTGGTATTTAGTTCAAGATGTAAAGAAAAAGCATTTACACAAAAATTTTTCTCTTCAAAAATAAAGTTTAAGGATTAAAATATAATTACTATATTTTTTTTCCAAAGAAAAGGAAAGGGATCATCAAATTGGACAATGCTAAGGCTCCTATCTTAAACTAATATTTATCCTTGTATTTTCTGACGTTTTTGCTTATGTGTCTTATATGTATAAGTACATAATTATAAATAGTCCAAAATTCTTAATTTAAATTTCTTTGCCACTAATACAAGTTTCAAAAGTGCATGACAATAAAAAAAAGACTTTTATAAGAGAATTTGTAAGATGATATATATAGATTTATTCGCTTCTGCCAAATTTGAGCCAGCTTCATGATTCTATCCTCCAAGAACTTGGCATCTTTCTGGATGATAAATGTGTTTAAATGATTTTTACAAACTTTCAGAAAATTTAACTTCTTAGCAGGGATTGGTATAAGCTGTGATCCAAAGGTGAAAGGTCAGGTGAGTATAGAGGATGTAGTAGGACATCCCAGCCAAGCTGTACTGATTTCTGCTGGGTATGCAAAGAGACATGGTAGTAGAACACATGATAACAGTGGTGATGAGAAATTTGAATCATGTTGGTTTAATTTTCTTCTTTGGTGTATGTAAAAAAAGAGAAAGAAAAAAACCCAGATATTCTTTAAATATGGAAAAATTACTAGCCCAAGTGGTAAAAATATAATAACAGTAATAACAGCAGTTGTTGGAACTCCAGAAATAACAAAATTTAATTGAAATAATATAGAAGAAAATGGAAATTCTCCAAGTTCTTTCACTCCCAAAGTGGTGGCAAATGCCATAACTGAATTCATATACAATTCAGATGATGGAATTACCTTTTCTGATTATTTTAGAAGATATGAACAAATTTTCAGAGAATAATGCAGCAATTGGAAAGAAAAAAAAAACAACTTTTGTTGAGAAAGTTAGCACCAGTAGAACAAGAAAATTTTGTACTACCGAAAAAAAAAAAATGCAGTAGAAATTTGCTTTGAAGAAACAGTAAATATTCTGAATCAAATTATTAGTGAGAAAAGTTTGTTATTCAATACTTGTTGGAAGTATATGAATCTGACCAAAAAAAAAAAAGAAAAAGATTTTGTCCCATATGCTGGAATCATTAACAAGGATTGTGAAAGATTCAAATTAAATGAACTGACTGGAGATGTCTAAAAGGTTAATTTTCATTTAATGGTAAAAATAGATGAAGGAATAAGTACTAGAATTCTAATGAAACTTGAACAGAATCAAAAACTAACACTACAAGAAATATCGGATGAATGTCAGAGAATTATAAATCTGAGACATGATATGGAAAAATTGAAGAAAAAGAATATTTTTATATATAATTATATATTTTAGACGTGGAAGGTTACACCTTGGTGGAGACTGTCCCTTTAAGAATTCAAAGTACTACAAGTGTGGGAAAGTAGGACATAAAAAGTCACACTGTAAAACTAAAGCAAGTAAAAGTTCTCACAGAAAAACATTTTGTACACATTGTGCAATGGAAAAAAATAATTACAGAAAACCAGAGAAAATTTGTGCATGTGAAAATTAATAATGTAGATGTAAAAAAATGCAACTTGACACTGGTAGTGATATCACAATAATCAATGAAACCACAGGGAAAGCAAATGGAAAACCTATATTAAAAAGAACTTCGAAAATCATACGTAGCATGTTGGGTAAGAAATGATTTTTTATTGATCAAATAATTTGTGATATTTCATTTTGTAACAAGTATGTAAAAGCTAAGGCTTAAAAAAATAATACAAACTTATTCAGTACTGACTGGATGGAATTATTTGAGTTGAGTTGTTTTACAAACATTTATTATAAAAA